TTTCTAATAATGAAATGGCAGACTTCCTATGAGCTTGTGTTGTCCAGGAGAATACTGGGCAGTACAAGATGCACATTTCTGGGGACAGGTCTGGGACTGGGAATTTGCTGGTGTTGCTCTGTAATATAATTCAGGAGTCTGGCTAGAGCACTCATATATAATACAGCTGGGAGTAATTTACATGCTAGAGGCTGTGTGAGAGCAGACCAGAAAAGGTCACTTTCACAGCACAGCAGTGTAAAAAAGGTATCTCAGGTTGGAGAATTGAGGGGATACAGCTGTTCAGCACATAGAATGTCACACACAGAAATGCTTTCCCTCTCCAACCTATTATCAATTACAAAAAGTCTAATTATAAATAAACTCTGCAAGTCTCTCATAAGTCTTTTCTCTGTCTTTTTGTTTTAACACCTCAGGCTTTCCCCTCTACCTATATTTATTTTACTAATTTAGATATTTGATTGTTTGCAGACTATATGCAGTATGTTTGTAGAGTATTACCTTGTAATTAGATTGGGTGCCAAGAGAACCTATTAAGGCAGAGTTGTCCCATTACAGTGTTTGTGTGTCTAGGTAAAATAAATTTAATAAATGTGTGCATTAATCCTTTTAGGTGTGGGAATCTATTGAAATCCATTTTACATCCTGTTCTCTACTGAGGGAGCATTTAGAAGTATTTAAACTATGTCGGAGAACAATTTTTAAAAATTAAAAGATAAACACATCTTTACAGTAGGATTCCTCATCCATATCTATTTACACCCTTATCTAGCAAAACAGAAACTTAGAAATAAAACATATGAATTTAGAACATAGTTCTCATAATGCATTATAAACATGAGTTTAATCCAAGATCTATCATATTGTTCAATTACCTTTAATAAGTAGTAGGGTACTATTTTTACTATTGTACTATTTTTGTGGATTTAAATGTTTTAAATTTGGGGTGAAAACAGTTTATTATTTCTAATTACAAATAGCATTAGATTTATGATCCTACTTCAAACATGGGAAGTCAGGTTTAATAAAAATGGCTCACTAGAAATTGTACATGCAAGGTTATTTTGGAGGAAAGTTAAAGCTTCTTTGGGAAGAGAAAGGGGGCAACTTCAGCATAGATTACAGAATATCAGTACCACATTTAAGAGGTGGTAGATGAAGATTTTTCTAATATTGAACTGACTGAGTGCAGGGATTCCACTCCTTCTGCCTATACCGGTACTGAAATATCCACAAGACTCACATTGCTTTTACAAAGTTTTGATCATTTGGTGTATACTCATCTTGAGATTTTCTATTTCCACATGGAAACCTGTAATAGCTGTTACGGGAACCCCTATCGTTCTGATCTGAATTCAAAGCCAAAGTTGTTATGCAAGGTATTCCAGGATGTACTAAATGAGAGAAGGCCTTGAGGGGAGAGGGTGTGGAGGGAGATCCTCAGTAAACTGGCAATGGAGCTATGATAATTTACACAAGCTGAGGATCTGCCTCTTAGTCTTTAATGCAGACAAAAAGGACAAGTTGCCAGCTTCTTCTACTTGATCACTTAGATCAATGGTTTTCAACCTGTGGACCCCTGGGAGTCCGCAGACTTTGTTTATGGGGTCCACAAAAGGTTGTCATTACCATAGAACAGTGGTCCACGGACCCCAGGAATCTGCAGACTATGTGTAAGATTTCCAAAGGGGTCCGCACCTCCATTTGAATTTTTTTAGGGGTCCGCAAATGAAAAAAGGTTGAAAACCACTGGCTTAGATATTATCAGTATCATGTTTCACCAGTGCTTCAATTTTTGTTCAAAAGGCTACGTACTCTTTTCAGAGGCATACTGGCACAAGTTCTGTAAATTTTTGGTTTTTACCAGTAGGGATTTTACATCTCAAGTGTATTCTGTAAGGGGATAATTTGAAGGATTTTCCAAAATCAGATTTTGTAGTCATATAGAATAATGTGCTAATTCATAGCATTATAAGTGATTAGAAGTCACCTGAAGTAAAAAGCTCCTAGTTTCTCTCATACTAAAGATTCTCTGAGGTAAGTATATGCTGGAAGACCACAAAAACCACAACGATTTTTACAGTTTGTACAAAGGAGAGATCTCTTAATTTTAAATCCTAACCTTCTGTTGTCACTGCTCTTAAAAGCCTTCAAACCTGGACTGGTTGCAGGTTTTCAATAAATGAAAATTTTCAGTTATCATTTTAACAATTTTTTTCAATAAAAATTTCCAAAAAAAAAAAAAGTGCATAAAAAAAAAAGAAAAAAAAAGGGGGGGGGGTAATATTGCTCAGGAGTATTTTGGCATCAGAGGTATCTCAGCCAATATATAGCTGACTCCAGCACTAAGGAAGAAAAATGGACTTGTTACAAGTGCTGTAAAATACTAGGCTTTTCTTACTTCTAAAATAGTATCAATGAAGTTAGTAGTTTAATTCTGGATATTTTAAAAGTGTCATTTCACAGCCCTAAGGTAATAGTATGAAATCTCCTCCCCACAACCACATAGTGAGAAATACTACACAATCTTCTGATAATGAAAATGCTAAATTGGTATTTTTGCCGCTAGCGGACAGTGGGAATTTTACTATATAAATAGAGAAATCCAATATGAAGGATTTTTTAGTGACGTGCTATGTTAGGCGAACACTTAGGCATTAAATGTTTTGTCACTTAAGTTTACTTTGAATTGAGATAATATAAATTATCAACATTAATCCCCTGAAGCACAGAAAAATAGTAATTGCTGCCAAGATTTACTATAGTGTATTTCAATCCTATTTCTCTGAGAGGCAGAGGCCAACCATCAACACTTGATTCACAAAGAAAATTCCGGTGTCTCTTTTAAGCTTAAGAGAATATACAGTAACTCATTTTACTAAATATAGCCTGGCTTGATCCAGTACTAGTGCTGTGCACTACTAAAGCTGGGACCAAGATTCAGTTCTTTGCTCTAGTCTCCCATTCTCTGGGCTAACAAAGGATAGGAATGCTTCCAAGGCTGCATGCTTTGCCATGGGGAAAAGGGGAGAAAAGGAAGTTTCTTGCTTTATCCACTAATGTCCCCCTCCTGACAGGAGAGAAGCAAGATGGACTGGGTACAAAGAGAGCGGCACAGAAGGTAGTGGCCACAACATGACTGAAAATGATTCTTCAGAGCTCATGCAGAAGATATTCCAGGAATGAAGAAGACACAAAAAGGAATAAAAAGGATATATGCTTATATATCAGGGGTTGGCAACCTTGCAGAAGTGGTGTGCCAAGTCTTCATTTATTCACTCTAATTTAAAGTTTTGTGTGCCAGTAATACATTTTAACATTTTTAGAAAGTCTCTTTCTATAACTCTATAATATATAACTAAACTATTGTTGCATGTAAAGTAAATAAGGTTTTTAAAATGTTTAAGAAGCTTCATTTAAAATTAAATTAAAATGCAGAGTCCCCGGACCGGTGGCCAGGACCCGAGCAGTATGAGTGCCACTGAAAATCAGCTCGTGTGCCACCTTTGGCATGCATGCCATAGGTTTCCTATCCCTGTTATATATAATCAGATCAACACTGAGCCCAAGTGGTTAATTTTTTCAATGTAGATGCCTAATTTGCACAGGCAAAATGCAGGTGTGTGCAAGTTATGTATGAAAAGCTCATTGATGTATGAAAACTGGGTAGCTTGTGTATGCATCTGCAAAAGTTGTAGATACAATTCAGACATATGGTAAAACATTTAGCCTTTAATGCATACATAAAGTAGATTATCAGGATACACATGGACTTAATCACATTTAATGATATTGATTTAAGTAATAATGAGATTTAATGATAGGAAACATCCAACCATAATTATTTTAACTTCCTATCACTCAAGTAAACATGATCTTATGTGCAAATGTATGTTTGAACAAGTTTCTTCAATTTAATGATTACTAAAAGAAAAAGCAGGTGAGATAATAGTAAATTTTCTATAACAAGCAATTATTTTAAAATTTAAGTACTAGTGATGTCAAACTGGCAAATGCATCTTAATTAAAAAATGAAACCTCCATAAAAACTGTTTAATAATTACATGAATATTTCTGAATTAGTATTAGTCATGTGAGTTTACAGTTTTGAAAGATATAGCAGAAGTATGTAACTTGTCAGAGACATAGTATAAACATTTGTCATTTTTAAGTAATGCCAAAAATTTTAATTATGTGTGTTCATTCAAGACTTGCAAAGTTCTTTTCTTGATTCTGATACAAGGATGTCATTCACTTTTGGCAGAGATATATGGTAACTGTATAATTTGTTTTTTTGCCTCCAATTACATCAGAATATTTACATATCAGTAGAACTTTGTTTTTCAGATTTAATTATTGATCTCTGATTAACCATAGTTGAGTAGAAGTGTGTCATATATTATTAGATTAAAATCTGAAGGCACTGTTACCCCAAACAAGATTAGGTATTGTGTGTCTTGAAAAGTATCAAGCACACAAGAATTGCCTCTAGTTAGTATTAATACTCCTTGTGTAACTTAGAGACAGGACTATTTTTTGCCTATACTTTAAGTGGAAATATTATTATTACCGAGGTTAGGAAAGGATTTTTTGGGGGTGCTGTACATCTTAGACATGACTAGCTGAATTGTGAATGCCACCAAATGTTATCTTCTAAAAAGCAAAAATATGATGAAGATGGATCTCTTAAAAACAGTCAGGATATGTAGATATGTAATTCACATTAATGCTAATGGGTGTTGCCAAAAGAACCTCTAGTCACTGATGGGTGGTTAAAAAAAAGAGATACCAAAAATAACTTATATTTACATGATCTAGTCTCTGAACAGACACAATAAGTGCATTGACAATAATGCGAGTTATATTCATTTATCAAAAGGAGAATAGATCTACAAACAATGTACAGATGTTTTGTAATATGTGCTTGTGCTATATAGAATATAGGCATTGTATGAGAGGACTTCACAATTTGCTTGGAAATATAAATAAATTTGACATACCATAACAGAGTCAAGTTTCTGCTTCACTTTCTGCATTCTCATAGATACTCTTGCAACACTGACAAATTGATCTGCTGGAGACATTGTTGAATCTTTCTGTGCAGAAATATGAGAAGAATTGCTAAGAATTTGTGGCCCTCTGGGTGTTGTTGATGCGAGTGACCCATTGAGATCTTTTACTATTTCAGCCTCCTGCTGTGCAACTGCAGAAATAATCAACATTAACATTTTAGGTCAAGTCTTAGTAGTTCCATGAAACAAACCACACTGAGTTCATAGGTCATATTAAATCTAAGACTTTGCTGAACAAGATAAAGAAATTATATACAAAAACCCTTCATTAAAAGAAAGTTATTTAGGTTACATAGTTGAGTTAAGAGAGAGGGATAGCTCAGTGGTTTGCGCATTGATGTGCTAAACCCAGGGTTGTGAGTTCAATCCTTGAGGGGGCCACTTAGGGATCTGGGGAAAAATCAGTACTTGCTCCTGCTAATGAAGGCATCGGGCTGGACTCGGTAACCTTTCGGGGTCCCTTCCAGTTTTAGGAGATAGGTGTATCTCCATTAAAAAAAAAAAAAAAGGCCAGTTTTACAATTGCCTAGGCAACCTTAATTCTGTCCTTTGGTGCATGCAATGAGGCAGAGATCTTGTGGCAAAAGAATAGTATGTGATTATTGCCATTGAAGACTATATCATAATGCATACAAGAGTGCAAAACTGAAGTTGCATGGGCAACCATAAATCTCTCTTGACTTTGAAATCTAAATGACTTATTATCTTAGGGTTGTTTGTATGTAATTTAGGGTTTTTGTATTTTGAAAGGAATACAATAAAACTAAATCTCATTATGTCTCACTATGTAACAAACCCTATATCACATCTCACTTATCAGGGCTGAAACCTGAACTTTCACTACTGGACAGACTTATCACTTGAGCTACAGGTCTAATTACAGTAGCTGTTAAAAGGAGTAGGTTGTTCTCCCTGGAAAGGGAAAAGCATTGATGACCTGATGGCACCATGAGCTGGGTCCAAGAGAAGCCTGCCCAATTTAGCACTCTCTAATACTCCCTACACCCCATATGGTGGGGGTTACTGTCCAACATGGTACTCCTAGAAAGGCGGACAGATTGTCAGGGCAATGTGCTGGGTCCCTGGGATAATCAAAGGAGGGTGACCCCAGCCAGAGTCTCTCACCACCCCATTTCTACAGCTGCTCTGACAGCTCCGTGGTGTTCCCACTAACAATCTGCTACTGCTGCTTTACCAGGGTGTGGGCCTAGTTCTTTAGAAAATTAAGGTTCAGTTATTTTGGTATGCTGTGAAAGTTCTTCTGAGGAACATAAGCAAGAAAAGGGAAGTAACAACTTTAAACAGTTTGCAACTCAGCAAAACCCAAATGGGATTTCATGGGACAAAGAAAAGAAACTTTTCTAGCCTGAGGGCTTTTTCCCTGCCAGATTTCAAAGTCCTTCTGCAAACAACGGAGACGTTCGGAGCTTCTCAAAAAAGAATCATAAGAATCTTTAACAATGGAAAGTGTTAAGCACCCTAAATATAGGGATCACTACCAGCTCCCTCTAGAAATACAGGGCATCAGTGCATACAACATATGAACAAGAAAAGAGTAAATTATATAAAACTCTCAGCAAAATAATTTAAAAGGTAGGTATTCTGAACATGCCAATCCTATGGATGTGATGAATCTACAATTTAAGTTCAGTTAGTGTAAGAATATAAGGAATAGTGCAGTATTAGGGTACGTCTATACTTACCTCCGGGTCCGGCGGTAAGCAATCGATCTTCTGGGATCGATTTATCACGTCTTGTCTAGACGCGATAAATCGATCCCGGATCCATCCCGGAAGTGCTCGCCGTCGACGCCGGTACTCCTGCTCCGCGAGAGGAGTACGCGGAGTCGACGGGGGAGCCTGCCTGCCGCGTCTGGACCCGCGGTAAGTTCGAACTAAGGTACTTCGACTTCAGCTACGTTAATAACGTAGCTGAAGTTGCGTATCTTAGTTCGAAGTGGGGGGTTAGTGTGGACCAGGCCTTAGTATTCAGTTACCAAAACACAAAGAATTCAGCTGGCTATTGTTACGTATGCCTGCTCTGGCTCCACTGAATCTCTATCAAAATTTATGATAAAGGTGCTACCAGGAAAGACAAATGTAAAGTTTAGAGAAAATCCCCTCATGCCATGCTTAACAATGCAAAAAAGATTCTGGCCCTATGTGCCAGGTTCCCCACTTTCCCAGTGCTAGAGTACACTTCTGTAGGTCTGACTCCCTTCTGCCACTTCTTTTTCCTCTCTCTCTCTCTCCCCATCATCCCTGTTCAAGGATCTCCAAAAAGAGCAGCTTCTCTCATGTCTTGATTCCAGAATTCCCTCTTTCTCCCTCTCCCCACACACAAGTCTGATTTCCTCCCACTATTGGTATTCACCATCCTCTAATACTGAGCTGATTCATCACAACCCTTAGTCAGCAGTAGTTTTCTCTTGATAAAAATATTAGTAAAATATGACCTTAATAAGACTGTCCTACACAAGTCAAAAAAGTAGGTGACTGGCATTGAATTCAAGCGAATCATACATTTTCTAACTTCCGCTTATATCCTTTTTTTTTTTTTTAAAACACAAATAAAATAGATTACAACTGATTAACGTAACTGCAAGTAGCAATAGGGAAGAATACTGTTTTTCCAAATGGGAAGAAGGGGATAAAATTTATTCAAATAAACCCAGGTTGAGATAAAGGAGAGATTATGTACCAGTAATTAATTCATGTCTAGGAAACTACCAAGATACTCGAAAAAGATTAATAGATTCATAGATTCTAGGACTGGAAGGGACCTCGAGAGGTCATCGAGTCCAGTCCCCTGCCCTCATGGCAGGACCAAATACTGTCTAGACCATCCCTGATAGACATTTATCTAACCTACTCTTAAATATCTCCAGAGATATTTTGAATGTTTTCAGAAATGGGTTTGGATAAGCAAGGGCTCTATTGCAGACCATTTTTATTTTAAAAAGGTCCATTTTCCATACAATTAAGGAAAAGTAAAATTGAAAACACCAAGTACATTTGAAAACACAAACTAAAGGATAAAGTATGACGACTAAATTAAAATGCAGGCTTCTAGTTCAGTTGAGGTTAGTAACTTGCTGGGTCCAGTCCAGCAGGTGCTCAAGGAGGTCACCAAGTGGTAACTCTTGGGCAACTTAGACTGAAGACCCTGAGTTTGTAATTCAGTTACTTCTTTCTGCCACTAGACGCTGCTATTTCTTTCTCTCTGTAGCCTCACTGCTTCTTCTACTAAAATTGCCTGGAGGTTTTTCCAGCCCAGTAGCGCTGAGCTCATCTAGAGAATTGTCTTTGAGAAAAATTTCTAAAGTTGACAACTGAACACATTTAGGCACAGGAGATATCCTGCAGGAGCAGGCCTAGTCATGCAGAGTGAGATATTCAGCGAAACAGCTTGGGGGCTGGGAACCTCAATTTTGGGAAAAGGCTTTTGGCAATATTCATTGCAGGGCCATTAGGGTCCAATTAGACAATCACATGGGCTAGCTGCCAGGTACCAGCGTTAACTGGTATTAGCTTGATAAAAGTTGAGCCCAGTTGCCTTTTAACCACACACACACGACTTTTACAGTTTCTAGATTGTTGCATCAGGAAGACAAAGGATTTCAGCATTCCTTATTTAAAATTTGCCCATTGTAAACATTAAAGGGTGTTTTTAAACCAGCTGATCTAAGCCAAACTATGGAACGATGGGAATCTTAAAAATGGTACCAGTGACTAAAATTAATATTACTATATGATTAACTCCTTAACACCAATGCAATAAAACTGTCTTCTGAAAGCGAAGCAAATATTTTTAACCAAAAAGGAACAAAAAGTTAGTAGCAGACTGTGTCAGGACGTACCCGTGTCCACACCCTACACATTATTGTAATAATCTTTGTGCAACATGTGCCTTGTGAGGTATTATCTGAAAACTCATAATTTGCTGGTCATTACTGTTCTGAGAAAATGTGTGTGGCAACATTGTATGTGAAGTTATACGATTCCACTGTATGTTGTTCTTCACACATGTTCCAAACTGAGGTTGGCAAACAAGTCTGGCTCAAACAAAGAAATATGTGCTACTTAATTTGCATTTAAGCAGTAAACAGAGCCATCAAGCAGGAAGAGAAACAAAAGAAGCTCTAACACATTAGGAAAAAGCAGCAGGGAACATCCTTCCCTATAGACTGTCTCCTGAATCTCAGTTAGAAATGTTTTTCAGGAGAGGGGCTAACACTATAAAAAGGAAGGACAAACATCCCTCCTCTCCCTCTCCTTCGATTCACTGCACCAGAAGGGACAAAGGAAGCAGCCACTGAACTGTAAAAGGGGTCCTAACTTAAGAAGTTTGGTCAGTAAGACTGCTTAGTGCATGTGATGAGAAAACTCTGCTTTGAATTTAACATAGCTTGTTAAGTTAGGCACCAGTTGCATTTCATCTTTATTTTCCCTGTAACCATTTCTGACTTTTATGCCTCATTACTTGTATTGAACTAAAATCTTTCTCTTTGTAGTTTATAAACTTGTTTCATGGTTTATCTAATCCAGTGTGTTTACATTGAAGTGTCTGTGAAACTCCATTTGGGGGTAACAAGGTGCATGCATACTATTTCTATTAAAGCAATAACAGATCTTATATAAACCTGTATTGTCCAGGAGAGGGCTGGGAAGTACAGGATACACATTTCTAGGAGGAAATCTAAGACTGTGGATGTGTTGGGTCATCCTGCAGTATAATCAAGGCTGGTAAGAGCGAAGGTGTGGCTGGCTGCAGCACATACACAGACATAGCTGGGAGTGACTTGCATGCTGGAAGCTTTTTGTGAGCAGACTGTAGGCTATAGCAGCAAAGCATTTTAAAGGGCACCCGAGGTTCGAGGGCACAGGTGACATGGCTACTCAGTCTGGATTGTACCCTGGTATGTCATACAGATTATGCCCAAAAGACCGCAACCTATGAAATGGCTTACTGATGAGAAAAGATCAGTAACTTTGTTAATACAACCAATGACTTTAACTACCAATATAGTCTCAGTGTGATCCTGTTTGATTGTTCAAGACTCAACCACGTTTTCCATTAAATAGAAAATGAATTTCTACTAGGTACATAGTTAAACAGCTATGAAACCTGTCCAATTCAAGAATGTAATTTTCTTTAGTGATTTCAAATAGCTAATTTTCTTCACCTTTATTAATATAATTTATATACATATTACAAATATCTATGTCGCTATAATGCAAATTAGTTCTCAGCTTTAATTTGACATGATAGAATATGAATTACTTGCAGGAAATAATAGTTTTTGTTTCTTTGTATAGACAAAGCAGAGTGCTTTCCAGAACTGTGATGGGCTCCAATTTAGGAAAACGTCCCTGTTGAAGAAAATACTAAAGCACATGCTTAAGTGCTCTCCTGAACAGGGACAGATTTGAGAACATGCTTAAGTGTTTTCCTGAATCAGGCCCACAATCAATTTTTAATAAAAGAGACACAATTATCTGTGGTTCTCTAGTCAGCCAAACAGAATAGATTTATTAGTCGACTAAAAGTTAGCATTTAATATTGACCATTAATTCTTTCAATGTAATTAGTTCAGTAAAATCATGGCAGTACAGTAGATGGAGGATTTGAACCTTAATATAAAGTTAGTAAGTGTGTTGCATTTTTTTTTAATTATTCACTCTATATTATCAAGACAGCAACTAAATGGAAATTTTAAAATTTTCTGTTAACAATTCATCTTTATCAGCACAAAATGCAATTATTACTACAGCAGATGTAAACGGAAAAAAAGTAAATATATATATCTGCATAATATATTATATACACACTGTGACAGACCCAGACCAGTGGGGTACAGGAGTCTGGTAGAGGGCAAATATACTGGTCACTGGATGAGTAGTTTTCTGTTCCCTGAGTGACCAGAGAAGGGGCTGCACTAGAGTAATCAGGAACCTGCTAGAACCAGTTAAGGCAGGCAGGCTAATTAGGACACCTGGAGCCAATTAGGAAGAAGCTGCTAGAATCAATTAAGGCAGGCTAATCAGGGCACCTGGGTTTTAAAAGGAGCTCACTTCAGTTTGTGGTGCGAGTGTGAGGAGCTGGGAGCAAGAGGCGCAAGGAGCTGAGAGGGAGTGCTGCTGGAGGACTGAGCACAAGCATTATCAGACACCAGGAGGAAGGTCCTGTGGTGAGAATAAGGAAGGTGTTTGGAGGAGGCCATGGGGAAGTAGCCCAGGGAGTTGTAGCTGTCATGCAGCTGTTACAGGAGGCACTATAGACAGCTGCAGTCCACAGGGCCCTGGGCTGGAACCTGGAGTAGAGGGCGGGCCCGGGTTCCCCCCAAACCTCCCAATTGATCTGGACTGTGGGTTCTTCCAGAGGGGAGGGTCTCTGGGCTGTTCCCCAACCCACATGGTGAATCTCTGAAGCAAGAAAATCCACCAATAAGCGCAGGACCCACCAAGATAGAGGAGGAACTTTGTCACAACACCTTTGTCATATCTGCCATTAAGATGAAACGTGACAATTGAAACAACATCCTCAACAAAGAAAACAGTGATGCTACTGAATAGTAACCAACAAAATTTAAATATCAAGAAACCTACAAGTTTAAAAGACTAATTAAGTCTACAATTAACTCTATGCTAGTGATAGCCAGGGATCTCATTTTCTGTGATAAAAATCCCAAAATTCTCCAATAAAAACCCATACAAATCCATGTTGTTCTGCGATTAAAATGAAACTTTGAACTTTTAGCTTCCCTAGCCACAATAGGGAGTCCCACTGCTGGGGCTGGCCGCCCAAACCCCGCCACCCAGGGCTGACAGCCCCGGTTTGCTTAATACAGCGAGCTGTACAACAGAGGCTCCGATAAACATGGTTCTACAGTATATGTTTTTGTTTTTTCACAACATGTAAAAATTCAAAGATTCTCTGTAAAAACACAAATTCCATGTTTTTCCAAAACAAACAGATTTCTAGGATCCCTGATAACACACTTGCCATGGAATTCCAATGCAGATGCGAGTTTGCCTACAGAGGACCAAGTGAGCCTAGATTTTCCTCAACAATTAAACCATTTTTATACAGCTTTTAAAAATTATTTTATATCCCATTAAGCGTAAAACATTAAGGTTTTCATTAAACTATGTGTATTTTGAGAAAATGTAAGTTTGCCTGACTCCATAATCCAGCCCAAGACTGACATAGGGTTCTAATGATTGACATGACATCACTAGCACAACATAGATTGCTGATGATGCTGAGGGTAGGATCTGGAGAGGGAAGTGATGACAAGTCTGGAATTCAGACATGCAAAATCGTAACAGAAAGGTAAATTTGAAGCTAATTCTGTACTGATCTTAAACTGGTTTAGAGATTTCAGCACAATTCTTGCATGCAGGTTTTGATTTTTTGTTTTGTTTGTTTGTTTTTAAAAAAGAACCTTTGCAAGTCACTTCTAAAAAGCTAAACAAACAGCTATCAAGATTTTTATGCATAGAGAAATGCTCTACAGTACCTTTATAATCATAAATGTACACAAGTATTGGCTGATTTTGACCAAAGGCACAAAATGACACCATGTGTTCATGTGGATGAAAGGCGACATCTCGAACTGGAAATGTGAAGGAGAGGTCAGAATACATGGCTACTTGGTCACCTATAAAAAGAAAAATAGAGTTCTTAATTTGTACTGTCATAAAAATTTGACATGATAATGTTGCAACTTTTTATAATATCCACTCATCTCTCTATATTATATTTATGTTACCAAAATCTTAGAGAAGAGGACTTCAACCTTTGTATTTTAAACTAGTTTATAACTTGGAAAGCACTATCCACTTAAAAAATATTAAATGGCACATAACCATAATATGTGTTTGTATCTTTCTGGGAAAATGCTTGTTACGTTAGTCATGGGCTTCAGTCATACTGACCAATGGGAATGGAAGTTTTGCACACCACTATTTCATAAAAGTTTTGGCCCTGATCCTGAACTCAATGGAACAACTTATGTCTATAAAGTTAAACACATGCATAAATCTTTTTAGGCTTTTATTTACAAATTCTCTCTCTTCCTACATTCCACCTATTTTTGATAGGTACTGGGAAAGTCGTGCAATGATGTATAGGTAGTTTTGAACCCTGGTTGATGAAGATGCCTTCAAAGCAAATCTTCAGAACAGACCTGCCTGCCTAAATGCCAGTTTTTAAGTGTTTTAAATATCTAGGTTGTAACTTGATATAAAAGAACAAAGCAGAAAGTCAACAAAACCAAACTTTTGTTACTAACCACTACATTTAATTTCCTCTCTGCTACACACAGTACAATACGGTTAATTTAGACAAGAAATTCTCTAGCTCTTATTTGTGCTTTGCTTGCGCTTTGTCCAGCAGAGTTCTTTTGTATTTTAGTGGTTATGTGGGAATTATCCAGTTTTGAGGACAATTTATGATGAAGCCTAGTACTCCTACATCCAGATGGCTATGTATACTGATCATTCACTTATTAAAGGTCTTCAGTCAATCAATTGTGCAAGTAAAATAAACAGCTCTTAATAACAGCCTGATCCAAAGCCCACTGATGTTAACAGAAAGACACTCATTGACTTCAATGGGCTTTGGAACAGGGTCTTAATCTGAATACACAAATACTTTGGTATCATATATGGAAAGGACAACTGAACAAAAGACCAAATTAGAAGTGTTTAATTACTACTAGAAATCTGAGATACTACCTGTGATTGAGATTTATTCCCGTATGAATATAATTTTTAACTCAGAGCATATAACTAACAACACTGATATAGAAGGTGGACCTTACATTTATAGACGTAAGGACATCAACCTAAATTTTTATTTTGCACCAAAGTTATTACATGAAAAAGGGGTTTTTGTTGTTGTTTTTTTGTTGTTTTTTGTTTTTTTAAAGAAGGCTCTTCCAGAGAGCTTGACAACCTGGCCTAATAATGTAAAATAATTGATTGGTTACCTGTTTCTGGATTCCAAACATATGCTATCCCATCTTCACTTCCAGAAAAAAGAAATGTCCCACATGGTGTTAAGGTACTGTGAATCTTCTCTCTATAGTTTGTGGCACCTATGTATTTCTTTGTAGCCAAGCTAAAAATAAAAAATAGTCTGAGTTTGGCAATTATTTTCATAACAGACAAAATCTCCCATACCTCACACATGAATTTTCTGCTGAATAAATAATACTAGCTGAATATCTTGTATCTAAAGTAGGCATCAGTGCACTGCGCACTTATTCATTGCATGTCCCATGTTCTCCCTCAAACCCTTCCCTTTCCTGGCTTTCATAATGGCACTTTTATCTCTGATAGTACAGAGAAATACTTAAGCCCATACCTTTGGAAATGGCAAAGGAATACCCAGGTCTGCACAGTGGGTACAAAAGCTGTCTTTGCATTTCCTTAATTCTGGGCTGATTATTTGCTGGGCCAAGGGGGTTGGACTGGGAAAAAAAGTGGTGGTACTTTTCCCACCTCTGCCAACAAAATAAGCTCTACCCATGTAAATTGCCAAAATGAGGTGCCCCTTACAGTAGGATGTGTAGATATTCAAAATATGATTGTGCAGCTCTCAGAGCTCAGCTCCTCCTCCCCTCTGTGAGGCTTAAATATGCCCAGGGGATTTGCTGGATTCCTTGGACTTGGCTCCTTCTTGACTGGGGGAGGGGTGGGAAGGTGGTGGTACTCTGAAACATCACCCATGTATGGCACCAAAATTAGATTTTTTTAAAAAATGGTATCACCATAGCACCTAGAAGTCCTAGTCATGGGCCAGGACCCCACTGTGCTAGGGGCTGTACGAACAAAGACCCAAAAGCTGGTCCCTACCCCCAAGGAGATTACAATAGAAGGCCATGCCTACAAAACAAACTGGTTGATTCAAGTTATATTGGCATACAGTCATCAGAGTTTGTATATTGCTTCAGCTCGTGCATACTTGGCTACTTGCGTTGGCACTGCTCATACTGAGCAGGAGTGCCTGTGTTGATGCAAAGTATGATCTATTTCAGGTAGGTATCACAGTGCGCTACACACTGTGGTTTGGTCCAAAGCCTTTTGGGAAATTTTCGCAATGTGTTATGGGGTAGAAATTACTCACGCAGGGATCTCTGGGAGCTAGTGGTCAAATTCCCACCATGTAACTTACTCCATTCCATAATGCCATCCGTATTCCATAATTTTCACACTTTTAAAAAAAAATCCCACAAATCCAGGTGGCACTTTTCAGTGTCTGCCACCTCTGACTGAAGCACGGAGCCACAGAGCTCTACACTATTCCCATGAATGTTGCAAATACAGAACATGTGATCCTCTGGTATTTGCAGACCCACAGAAAATACCACAATAATGGGGGACATGACAGTTTCTTCTAGGACAGATTGCTGTGGGACATAGTAAGAACCAATTCAAGGTTGTTGATGGCATTCATGGAGCAGCAGCTGACAGTGGAGCACCGTTTCTGGCCCCACGAAACGAGCACTGATTGGTGGGACTGCAACATAGGCAGGTTTGGGACGACGAGTAGTAGTTGCAGAGCTTCAGAATGCGGAAGACCACATTCCTGGATCTGTGTGCCAATCTTGCCTCAGCTCTCCAGCGCATGGAAACCAGAATGAGAGCATTGACAGCTGAAAAGCAAGTGGTGATCACATTCTAGAAGACTGCAAGACCAAATGGCGACCAGTCAGTGGGAAATCATTTTGGAGTTGGACAATCCACGGTGGAAGTCATCATGCAATGGTGCAGGGAAAAGCGGCCATGGAGTTCTCCAAGGATTGAAACAGGTGGAGAGTCTGGGATTTTTGGACCTGGGGGATCAACTGGTATCTGCAGTATTTAGGTGTCATGCCTGAGAAGGCTTATTATGTCCTGATGCATTTCTCTCTTCTTATCCTGAGGGGCTTCTCTCCTGTTCTCTCTTTCCCTTTCCATGCTGTCAGTCATCCTGGCCCTGCCAACCCTTTATTCACGGTCCAATGCAGCACTGGCTTGTAGAATTTTGCTGAACATGTCTTCCCTAATCCTCTTCTTTCTCTACTTCATCAGAGTCAGGCATTCTATGGGTGTGGAGGGGGCATCCCTCAAGGCCGCCACGCCTGAAGCTGCTGATAACAGACAGATGTACCATTGGATTTACAGTCACAACGGAAAGAGAAAGTTAAGCTTAAAATTTCCTTCCCTTACCCGCATAAACACTTTTAACAAGAAATGCTTATTGACACTTCAGCTATGGAGCGCCTCAGCATAGCACTGCGCTCCCCCCAGCCATGGTAAGTATGGCCCACTGAGATGAGTGAAGAGAAGAATTTTCTGCTGCATGAAGCAATAAAATTTCAGTCCCTATTCTTCCATGGGTACGGGTATAGTGAAATGGCACTGAATATTGGCACTATTTTCCATAGGTGGTGGTGGTTTTAGCTGATATCTCACTTGGGAAGGTAATTAAGGCACAGATAACACAGCTGCTACTGGCATCCCATAGTCACACAGGCCTGTATGCTGCTAGCCTGTTTCTTGCTACGGTGCCAGTCAAACTCATTGAGGAATGGCATGGGAAAATGTCCTATTTCAGAGGAAGAAATAAGACAGCCATTCCTAATCTTCAGAAGAGTATCGCAGAGTATCTCCATGAAAGTTTCATCAAGATCTCTCAGGAGGATAAAAGGAACATCCCTCTGTAAATAAACAAAGTGCTCTGCACAGCCCATCCGCCTACCTAACCCAATAGGAGAATAAAAAGCACATGAGAACTCTGCCTCTGTTTGTTGTTCCTCTACCTTTTCTCGTATGAGTGAAACAGTGAAGGGTTGATACCTGTGTCTTATTAACACAGGGATGGGCCAGGTGCCCTCTTTAAATTTAAAGATTGTAAGGAAAAATGCATACACACTTACCCAACGCCCCTTCCCCTTCATCAAACTCATCCATGCTTCTCAGGCAGGACTGGCCAGACTGGCAGAGTTTTGAACAGGTTCCGGCTTGTAGCATGGCTGCAGCCCTCTGCCACATCTCCCTCTTCTCGCTGTTCACGGCAGGGTTCTCTGTCTCAGGGTCCTCCAAGCTATCCACAGTGATCTGCAGGCTGCTGGTGGGGTTTCTGCCAAGAATGGCATGAAGCTCATTGTCTCACCGGGTGTGTGGTGCATCACCAGATCTATTGTTGGCTTCCCTGGCCTTGTGATATCCTTGGCAAAGTTCCTTGGCTTTCCCACAGCACTGATGTTGATCCCTATCATAACCCTTTGCCTGCATGCCCCATATAATCTGTTTGTAGATCTTCACTTTTCTATGTCTGGTCCGTAGCTGCGTCTCCACAGTCTCTTCTTCCCACAGGCCTAAGAGATACAATGCTTCCGTGTCTACTCCAGGCAGAAGCATGTCTAGTGTGTGGAGCCAGCATAGTCCACTGGGCAGTTGCACACAACAGGGATGAGCTACTAGGTGTGCTCACCAAGGTGGGCAATCAGGAAAAGGCATTTTTAAAAACACACGTGAGTTTTAAAGGGGTGGGGTGGCTTCCAGTCTCTGACCCCCAGAGCAGTGGAGTTCACAATGGTAACCAGATCAGTCACTGTTGCAGAGATGGGAGCATTGTGGAATAGCTGCTGGAGGACTGTTAGGGTCGACACAGGTCACACAGTGTCTACACTTGCACTGTGTTGGCCTCAGTAGGTCAACCAGGGCTCCATGCCATTCAGCAAAATGGTTTTACTGCATTGCTCTAACAGCGTGCTTATGTTGGCTAGAGACAAACTTAAGTGTAGACCAGAGGTGGGCAAACTACGGCCCACGGGCCAGACCGTCCTGCCCAGCCCTTGAGCTCCCAGCCGGGGAGGCTAGTCCCCGGCCCCTCCCCTGCTGTCCCACCTCCCCCGCAGCCACGCCGCCACACGGGCAGCCCTCTGGGCAGCGGGACTGCGCGCTCCTGCAGGGCAGCGCAGCAGCGTGTCTGGCTCCATCCGGGCGGCGCAGCGGCCAGACTTGCTGCTCTGAGCGCCATGGTAAGGGGGCCAGGGGGTTGGATAAGGGGCAGGGGATCCCGGGGATGGGGAGCAGGGGGCGGTTGGATGGGGCAGAGATTCTGGGGGGGGGACAGGGGTTGGATAAGCGTGGGAGTCCTGGGGGGCCTGTCAGGGGGCAGGGGTGTGGATAGGGGTTGGGGCAGTTAGGGGACAAGGAGCAGGGGGGGTTGGATAGGTGATGGGGTCCCGGGCGGCAGTTAGGGGTGGGGGGTCCCGGGAAGAGGTGGTTAAGGGACAAGGAGCAGGGGGGTTGGATGGGTCGGAGGTTCTGAGGGGGGCAGTCGCCAAGCTGTTTGGGGAGGCACAGCCTTCCCTACCTGGCCCTCCATACAGTTTTGCAACCCCAATGTGGCCCTCGGGCCAAAAAGTTTGCCCACCCCTGGTGTAGACACATAAATTGGTTGAGACAAGGTGATTTACATCAACCTAACGTTCTGGCGTCGACCAGACCAATGCGTACAATGAGAGACAGATGACTAGACTGACAGACCGATGGGGGAGTACTAAGAAACAACGAGGTCAGAATGATAGGCAGTCATCTCAACACACCAAAACCAAACAAACGCTGACAAAATCTGTTGTCACATTTTTTGTAGGCATTATGGAAAAGGAGAATTTTAAGGAGGATAATGAAATAGCTTTGAAGATGTTTATGGGGAGCTTCTCACACATGAGGGGTACTTGGGAGAAAGCACAAAGGTGCCTGATTGAAAACCTAACAAGTGGACGATGGAGACTGATATCATGGTTGATCGGAGTCAGGAGCAGAGATTTTCATAGTGAATGAAAGTTGACAGGTAGGCAGGGATAGGTCTTGAAAGTGAGGACAAATAGCTTATGTTTGATGCACTTGAGAAGGGGAGTCAGTGGAGGGATACAAAGAAGGGTGACGTGGTCAAAGCAACAGGCTAGGAAAATTATCTTCATAGCACCATTCTGAATGGATATAAGCAGGGCAAGGATGCACTTGTGAAAGCCAGAGAGAAGGATGTTGCAGCAGTACTTGAGACGATGACAGTCTTAGCCGCATGGACTGATGGCACATGTTATATCTTAGAGATGTTAAGCAGAAAAAGTTGGCAAGATTGAGACATAGCCTAGACGTGAGGACCTAGAGAGAGAGGTCCAAGTCAAAGAGGATGCCCACGTTTCAGACCTGAATGACAGGCAGAATGGTGCAGTTGTCCAGTGATCAAAGAAGGAGGTAGTGGGGAGGACTTGGGGGTAAGAGTAAGAGCTCTGTTTTAGCTTTACATGTCACTCACAGCAAGTTGTCCAGAACTGTGATCCCCTCCCTCTCTCCTTTCTTTCGTGAGGATTCAAATGGTTAATAGTGTAGACATTTAAAAGTATAATTGCTGGGAATCCAAATTAACACCTCATGGAGATGAATAGAGCAGTTCAAACCTCTCAGAGCTACTATTTCATGCTCTCTGCAGACTCACATAGACAACTTCATATTGGTGACATTCAGCTCACATTTTTGAAGTTTGCTTCACAGTCACAATAACTGGAAACTTTTTAGTGACAGTGGAGATTCTGAACACAATAATAGCTCCAAGGGGGTCGACTACAGCACATGGTACATACCCGCTGTTTCTAAGTCTTGGCTGGCTAGTTTTCCAATGTAAGGTTCTTTGGCTGCCAGTGGCTCCAGCAGTATGTGGGGAAACCCTAGCCATGCCCACTTTCCTCTTCCTCCCCCAAACACACTGCCATGCCAGTAGCAGGAAGGGTGGTAGTATAGGAACTATAATGCTGGCTCTACACCTCTGTAGGATCCCCCTACATTCATATGATCCTCAAAGGGCCCATTACAATGACTCCACACACAGATTCTGTGGATGGTTCAGTGAAAAGCAACCATATTGCACCAAGGTTCTGAGCTTTGGCCTCTCCACCAAGACCATTCCAAGGATCCTCCCACTTCTGGCAAGAGGAAAAGTGCTGTAAAAGAGCTAAGTCTTTTGGTAGCCCAAAACATGATAGTCCAAGAAATTTAAACAGAGTGATATGGGGAGAGAGCTACATTATAAATAAATGTATATTTTGAAAAAATGTCCCTAGACCTTTGATAGTTCCTTGTGCTGTCAGTGCTTGGAAAGTATTTTCCTCCAAGCATCTTTTCTTAACATTGGGGAAACTTTGAGTATCTGTGTTTGTGAGGGGGAGGGGGGAAATTTAGAACAAAACATCAGCACAGATTTTATGCTTTAATACTACATTCTCTTGTTTTTCTGGATTTAAGTTTTAGCCTTAGCGGTACATTCACTTAGAGCAGTTTTGCTTTTTGTAGTTTAATTTCTTTATTTTTATACTAATAGTTTAAAAATATTAATAATAAAGGGGAAAATAATCATCTCAGATTATATTTAAATGTCTCTCCACCCATCCATCTCATGTACTTATGTGGCCCCTATTACCATAGTATCTTGAATGTATTTAACCTGTGAGAGAGTGAAGTGCTATTAGCCCCATTTTACTGAAGGGGAACTGAGGCACTGAGAGACTAAGGGCTTGTACCCAGTAGTGCTTACTTCAGTATAACTTAAATCGCTCAGGGGTGTGAAAAGCCACCCCCGAGCGACGTATGTTACACTGACCTAAGTGCTGGTGTGGACAGCATTATGTCAGCATGAGAAGCTCTCTCCTTTCAGCATAGACCATCTGCACTAGTAGCGCGGCACAGCTACACTGGTACAGCTGCGCCGCTGTTGCAATTCTAGTGTAGACTAGCCCTAAGGCCTGGGTCTACACTAGGCACTTACATTGGTATAGCTACATCAATTAGGGTGTGAAAATCTCAGTGCAGACAGTGTTAGGTTGATAGAAGAATTCTTCTGTCAACCTAGCTACCACCTCTTGGGGAGATGGATTGCCTATGCCAATGGGAGAATGCCTCCTGTCAGTGTAGGTAGTGTCTACACTGAAGTGCTACGGCGGCATTGCTGTAGCATTTTAAAGTGTAGACATACCCTAAGAGTAACCTTTCCAAAGGTCCCTAAGTGACTCAGGCTCCTAAGTCCCACTGAAAGTCAATGAACCAAGCTAAGTAACTAAATATTGTTTTTAAAAGGGACTTGGGAGACCTGGATTAAAATCCCTGCTCTGCTGCAGACTTCCTGTATGAGGTTGGACTTCCTGAGTGACATTGAAAAGTCAATGACACGGGGTAAGCGGCTAAATATTTGTTTTTAAATAGGACTTAGGCACTTTTGGAAATTCTAACTTACAGGACATGCCCAATGTCACAAAGGAAGCCTGTGGCAGAGCAAGGATTTGTATTGAGGTCTCCCAAGTCCCAGTCTAGCACTGTAACTATTGGACCATCCTTCTTCTTAAGTATGTATTTAATAATTTTAAAACATTTTATTGCCATGATGAGTCGATTTGAGACACAGAAATCTATGCATTGACTACAAAAACCTACTTACATTCTGAGATCCATAATTCTCAGAGCACTGTCTTTGGCATGGATTAATAAACGTCTTCCATTTGGATGTACCTCTAAATGATTTATTGGAGTCCCTTTAATATCATTTTCTTTTATTTCCTACAATGAAAAAATGAAGTTTATTGTAATGCAAGACTAATTTGATAGGAAACAAAGGTAAGGATGTCACGATGGTATTAACTCATGAAATTGGCAGGGGGCAGTACAAGGAAAGATTAAATGCAGTTTAAAAAAACCCCAAGCCAACACTGGTTCCTAGACAAGATACTATATCCCAAATCAAGTTTCCACAGCCAAATGACGGATCCTATTATAACGATGAAATCCTGAAAACCAGGATTGTTAACAGAAATGCTGACGTTAACCATAGAAGTGTGAACAAAGCTACTTTGACAAGATACATAGTCTGTTATTTTAATTCTATCTATGGAAGTACAAACAACACGTTACTGTGTGCAATTACAATGCTACCAATTCTCAAATGTTTGTTGCAGAAGCTGGTGCTAGGAATAAGCATTTACATTCTCTACCTACAGTATCATATCTAAAACAGTGACAAAAATCTAGAAATCCCCAGCCAGTGAATCACAGCATGTTTTATCAGCCGTTTGCAAAGTGTTAACAAGACATTTAGGGGAAATTTACTTTCCAACCACACAAAAGTGACATGAAAAAGTAATTAAATGGAAATTAGATGGCTAGATTTGAAACCATGTTACATAAAAGTTATCTTGCTAATTAAAAATATTTGTATACCTTATTAATACTCCAGTGTTGGACTGGATGTTGTGAACTTCCTTTGACAAAGGTATTCCAAACTATAATCAGCCCTGAGCTGTCTCCTGAGAACATGTGAAGTCCTGTAAAATAATAATTACACTTATGTAGTATTAACAGCAAGATTTTGAAACCATACTAAATGAACAACAGGGAATGTGAGCTAGAGACATCTCCAAAACTAAATATACATTGGAAATTCTGTCTTATCAGTGCTATTAACAGTTTTATAGTCATTTCCACATTCATGGATATATTATAAACTGAATTATTACAGGCAATATTTGAACAGCAATGTTTTGTTTCTATTTTCTCCACTTAATGCAGGGATTGTCAAAAAGCCTAAATTTTGCTTATAATACATCACAGAAGTCAATATCGTAAATTCCAAACAGAATAAAAATTTAAATACTGTAATACTTACAATTCAATACTTTGACTGTTTTTCACTTAGATGCTAAGTTGGTTTTATTCAATGTCTTTGCTTTTTAGTATTGTCTTCCAGGCCTTAGATCAGACCCCTAGTGCATAACTATCCAGTGAAGATCCTCGCTGAGAACAAGTTGAGCAAGAGCAAATGCAAATTTCCCTCCAATTGCTGCCTTTCAACAGCTGCTCTTAAACCAATAGTATACATCATTGTAAACAATGAAGTAGAAGGTTTCAGAGTGGTAGCCATGTTAGTCTGTATCAGTAAAAACAACGTGATTTTTCCTCCCTTGGTATTCTACTGTTAATTGAATTGTCTCATTAGACTGACCCCCCCCACTTGGTAAGGGGTGTGTGTGTGTTGGTGTGTGTGTGTATATATATACACACACACACACACACACACACACACACACACACACACACCCCCCTGCTACTGTATTTTCCACTCCATGCATCTAATGAAGTGGGTTCTAGCCCATGAAAGCTTATGCCCAAATAAACTTGTTAGTCTCTAAGGTGCCACAAGGACTCCTCATTGTTTTTAAATGAAGTAGAAGGTTCTTTTCTTTCTATGGTAAGCTGCCATGCCTATCACAGAAATAACCCATCTACATTTTCATGAAATACCTATCTGAAAAACCCAGATTCCAAAATACAAATGACCCATCTTTGGGGAGCTCCTCCATTCACACAGCATCAACTCACATCTCCATCCAGTTACGCATTTTAGAATATCTCTCCAACACCTCTTCCTGGATGTCTTGCCACCAACACAGTCTTAACACTGCCAAAATTGAACTCCTTAACTCTCCTTCCAAACCCTCTCCATTCTCTGTCATTGTTGAAAAATTCACCATCCTCCTAGTTCCCAAAGCTGTAACCTAAGACTTCGTCTAAGCTACAGGTTACTTCAGTATAATTTATGTTGCTCAGGGGGTTGAATAATCCATACCCTGAGTGACATAAGTTATACTGACCTAAGCGCTAGTCTAGACAGCACTATGCTGGCGGGAGAGCTTCTCTCGCCAACATAACTACCACCTCTTACGGAGACAGGAGAGCTCTCTTCCGTCGGCTTAAAGCGTCTCCACCACAAGCGCTATAGCATCGGTGCAGCTATGCCACTGTAAGTGCTGTAGTGTAGAGGTAGCCTAAGAGTCATCGTAGTCTCCAGTCTCATTCTCTCTCTCTTTCTCCCTCCCCCCCCCGATAGACATAGACACACACACACACACACACACCCTCTCACAACCAGGCAAACTTTAAATCTTACCGTATCTTCCTCCACACCATTTCTAAAATCCAATCTTTTCTCGGTGTCCCTACAGCTAAAATTCTCAGTGACCCAGATCATCTCTTACTGGATCATCATCCTCTTTGCCCTCCCTATATTATACTTACTCATCTAATCCACACCAAAAGTAGCCACTAAGATTTTCCTTGCCTGTTGTTCAGATGAGGTCATCTTCCTCCTCTTTGAATCCCTGCACGGGTTCTCTCCTTCCCCACCATATTAGATTCAAACTTCTGGTCTTTGCCTTGAAGTCACTACATCTTTTTACCTCTTCCTACTCAGGGCCGGCTCCAGGCACCAGCTGAGCAAGCTGGTGCTTGGGGCGGCAGCTTGTAGGAGGCGGCATTCTGCCCAATCCTAGGGCGGCACGGCTGCGTTTTTGTTATTGTTGTTCCGCTCCGGCCGCCCTGTAGGGGGCAGCGGCGTGGAGGACGGGAGCGCCCTGCAGCAAGCCCGGCAGGGCAGCCCGCGTCCTTCCCTCCCAGCCGACCAGAGCGGTGCAGAGCCCTCCTGGCAGGGGGCACGGCGGGAGGGGCCGCGTGGCAGTGCCCCGCTGGAGCCCTGGCCGCCCCCCTTCTCTCTCTCCCCCCGCTCCCTCCCACCGCTAGCCGGGGCACATCTGCAGTGCAGGGAGTCCCCCTGCACCCGTGCTCCGGCCGCGCCGCAGGTTTTTCTTTTGCTTGGGGCGGCCAGGAAGCCAGAGCTGGCCCTGTTCCTACTTATCCCACTCTGTCTTTTTTCTAGGGCTGTCAATTAATCGCAGTTAACTCAAGCGATTAACTCAAAACAAATTAACTAGATTAAAAAAATTAATCGCAATGAATTGCAGTTTTAATCACACTGTTAAACAATAATAGAATACCAATTCAAATTTATTATAAATATTTTTAGATTTTTTCTACATTTTCAAATACATTCGTTTCAATTACAACACACAAAGTGTACAGAGCTCACTTTATATTATTTTTATTGCAAATATTTGGACTGGAAAAATACTATTTTATCTTTTTAAATTCACCTCATACAAGTACTGTAGTGCAATCTCTATCATGAAAGTGGAAAATACAAGTGTAGATTTTTTTTTTGTTACATAACTGCACTCAAAACTAAAATAAAGTAAAATTTTAGAGCCTACAAATCCACTCAGTCCTACTTCTTGTTCAGCCAATCTCTAAAACAAACAAGCGTGTTTACATTTATGGGAGATAATGTTGCATGTCCTCTGGAATGGTGGTCAAAGCATGAAGGGGCATATGAATGTTTAGCATATCTGGCATGTAAATACCTTGCAATGCCGGCTACTAAAGTGCCATGAGAATGCCTATTCTCACTTTCTGGCAACATTGTAAATAAGAAGAGGGCAGCATTATCTCCCGTAAATGTAAACAAACTTGTTTGTCTTAGTGATTGGCTGAACAAGAAGTAGGACTGAGTGGACTTGTAGGCTCTAAAGTTTTACTTTGTTTTGTTTTTGAGTGCAGTTACGTAACAAACAAACAAAAAATCTACATTTCTAAGTTGCACTTTCACGATAAAGAGATTGCATTATGGTATTGTATGAAGTGAATTGAAAAATACTATTTCCTTTGTTTATCATTTTACAGTGCAAATATTTGTAATAAAAATAATAATATAAAGTGAGCACTGTATACTTTGTATTCTGTGTTGTAGTTGAAATCAATATATTTGAAAATGTAGAAAACATCCAATAATATTTAAATAAATGGTATTCTATTATTCTTTAACCATGCAATTAAAACTGCGATTAATCGCAATTAATTTTGTAATTGTTTCACAGCCCTATTTTTTTCCACATTGCCTCTCCACATCTCTGCTCAGCCCAAAATACCAGCCTTGACACACCATTTGCCTACTTCTCCCACAATAGTCTCCATTCTTTATTCCATACCAACTTCTACCATGACACTTACAAGAAACTAGCCAACTAAAAATAGTTAGGAAGAGGGTCAACTGTGGATAATCTATATATCTAAAATATGTATCATCAAGACCTTGCCAGACATCACCTTGACCCTTTTACATCTGTTGTATCCTTTTTCCTGTCTTTTGCCTGCTTATTTATCTTTTCGGCCCAGGCTATGTCTTCCTATATACGTTTGCACAGTGCCCAGCATATTGTAGACATGCCCAGATTACAGATAGTAAACAATAATTTAATACATCAACACACTGGGTAGTAGTAGATCTCAGTGAGACATTTTAATAAAACAACAATTGTAACAAAATAAAAACATCCTGTTTTTTAACAACTATCTCAATTAAATAAACCAAACTGAGCATGCTTGAATTGCTCTTTGTTTGAGATGCAATTATGACATAATGAACATACCTTCTGCATCAAAACACAGTGTATTGATGAAACTTTTGTGACCATCAAACTCCTGTAGCAACTGACCATAGAGCTCTTTCACTTTTGTATTCCATACCCTAATTACAGAGTCATAACATCCTGTCACCACAAGATAGTCAGCAACTGGATGGTACTTTGCAGTGTAAACAAATGAAGGATGAGGGAAAACTCTCACAGAAGTTGTAGCCTGGGTCTCAATTTTCCACATTCTTTAAAAAAAAAAAAAAAAAAAGTTAGGATAACTGTCTCATAACGTAATTACCATATAAATTAATACCAAATTTTGTGCTAATGGTTCTAGATGTAAATACATGCAAATACTTAAGGGTCTAATTGAATCTACTGAATTTTTGCCGCTATACTCAAAAGTTTGTTGTGGAACATTCCAATGGGAATTAAGCTTCACATGAGGGACAGGTTTTGAACGCTGGAAATTTAGCTTCCACCTTGTTTCTAGCATCCCTGTACAGGCACGGGGTCTAGCTTAAACTGAAACTTAGGCCTGGTCCACACTAACCTCCCACTTCGAACTAAGGTACACAAATTCAGCTACGTTAATAACGTAGCTGAATTCGAAGTACCTTAGTTCGAACTTACCGCGGGTCCAGACGCGGCAGGCAGGCTCCCCCGTCGATGCCGCGTACTCCTCTCGCCGAGCTGGAGTACCGGCGTCGACGGCGAGCACTTCCGGGATCGATTTATCGCATCTAGACAAGACGCGATAAATCGATCCCAGAAGATCGATTGCTTACGGCCGGACCAGGAAGTAAGTGTAGACCTGCCCTTAGTTTTAAAATTTTTTTTTCTTAAATATCTAATTACATGAACAAACTAACTAGTAACTAAGCAGTAAGACTACTAACTAACTACACTAACACTGCAGAGAGAAGAAGGAGGGCACTGCAAGGATTCCATCTTGCTGCTACAGAACCAAGGGGCAGCTGGGCCCACTCTGCCTTTTATGCCCTCAGGCTTGGATGAATAGTGCGAAGATGTCCAGGGCAAAGGCATGACCCCAATGTATACAGCTGGCCAAAAAAACCCAAAAAACCTGATCTCACACCCAAGCATACTAAGAGTGGAAACAATGTGGACAATCACTTGAAGAACTTTAAATTTATATCCCTTCTACCTCATAGTAAAACCAATTAAGTTAACACTTTCAACACATATAATATGGCAATCACAATTCTTTGGGGATTTTAAAAATGGAGCTGACTGTAGCACTATGGAGTTGGCCAACAAAGGCAATAGCTAGGAGGTTTTTGTGCATCTACACATCAGTGAAGATTAAAACCTATGAGGTTACCCATAACACATTTGTGGAATACTATGGCCATATTTTTTCTTGCTGTGTTTTAAGTGTTCTGTGTTGGGTTTTTTGGAGGGATGAGGGAGCTTTAAGTACCTCAAGATTTGCTGCTTAAACACTGCATTAATGTAACTTTTTAAATTTATACCCAAGAGGGGGAAAATTTCAGAGTTAAGATTTTATATTCCTGATACAGTGATTTATCTTGAGTTACATATTTAACAGCCTAGCCAAGAATTCAAACTACTATATATAATTGCAATGTGGTAAAGTTAAAGTTGCCATCTGAATTCTAAATTTTCAATTTCCTGCCTTGTGTGTTCAAATTTGCAACCTTAATATGGTATTAAGATTGGCTTTTGCATCTAGAATATGGTAATTTTTGCAAGGATTAAATATTCCAAAAGTCCTATTGATTTATGTAATAGCTGCTGGGTGCTGAACACTTTTGAAATATAAGGCCATTTATTTAGGCGGCTAAACATGGATTTAAGAGCTTATACTTCGGCAACTACATTTTAAAATCTTGGACCAAAACCACCATATATTTTAAACCAAACATAATAAAATTATTCCGAAAAAGCTATAATTCTATCATAGCTTTCCAATAACATTAACAAATAACTCAAATTACACTCAAATCCACGGTTAAAAGTTGTCCAGCACAGTTTATGATAAAGACACAGCTGGGTTCACTAAGCCTACTTATAATTTTGACAACAGTTGCTATAACATATCTCTCATACTGACCTGACAGTGCCATCAGAGGATGCAGTAAGGAGGTACTCATTATCTTTTGACCAACAAAGATCATATACAATATTAAGGTGGCCATAAAATTCTCTCAAGTATTGTCCAGAAGGAATCTCATATACTAATGAAAATGTAAATAAAAAGGTTAAATTTGAAAACATTTGAAACTGCTTTTCCAATAATAAAGCATCAATACTCAAAAGAAAACCATTTAGGGCCAAGATTTTATATATAGGACTTATAACTGCATGTTCCGACACAAATTAAATCTTCAAATATGGAAGATGTTGATGCAACCAACATCTGGAATATAATTACTACAAAGCTAGACATATTCCTAGGGCCAAGTCATTGCTGGCATAAGTGAATTCAATTCCACTAGCTCCTAATTTCCATAATTCAAAATCAAATAGCTACTGGGTATGCATTGTTAATAATTTAACACAAGTTTGCAAGCATCTACTTCCATCTAGTGGTTCATGGATGTGTCACAAGTGCATTAACCCCTTTAAAAATTAGACTAGACAGTTTAAGTTATCAGGGATGAACCTAGGACATTAAGTAAATACTCTTTATTTTTTTTTTTAAACTCTGATTGCTACTTGGCCAGCTACATAAGAATATTAATGGTGAGGTCAATTTTTTGGTGATCAGCAAGTTTTGTAGAGAAGCAATATAAACGTGATAGCTACTATTTAAGTACTTGCATTTATAGGTTTTGTCTTTTATTCTGTGTGGAGATGGAACATTGTTCCCAAGAATCTCAAAAAATCGATTATGTTCTGTTTCAAAATGCAACAAGTGACATTTTCTTGCACAAAAGCAGCTCAGGATATGAATAGCATTGCTAGTCATTAGTGAGTTGTATTGGGGATTTTTGTGAAGAAGACTGCCTGGCATCTCCAACGTTATGCCTGGCTCTAGTAAGTATTATTGGTTAGTCACTTTCATGAAAACTAAATTCATTCACAAATTCCTTTTCCCCTATAAAAACAATCTACGAAAAGGGCAAGTTATTTCACTTAAAATCTTATTATCAGAACTTATATTCCTGGCACATTTCAGACTCTGATTTCTACTGGATGCTGAAATATTGTAATATCAAGTCCTTAAACTGGACATATACATTACCACATATGAAAAATCATACTGTCTTCAATCAGGCAGACACTTTGCTAAATTGGCCTTACAGCAAAGAATATTTACAATGCTGAATTACTAAATAAATCTACTAAAAGAACATAACTGTTAATATAAAACCTTTATGCTCCAAAAAGTAACACTTTTTTTTTTTTAAAGTCCAATCTACACACTCTTCAAAATAAAAACTAAGGGGAAAAAAAAGAGCTCTTTGCATATGTTATAGCTCTATGTTAAAATAGAAGTAATAAATTTGTAACTTACAAATAATAGGATAACCATCCCTCCCTGCACAGGCTGCTGCTAATGTTTTTCCATCTTGAGAAAAACGAATACAGAAACATCCCATATCTCCTGCTCTCAGTGAAAAGAGATGCTTGTTTGGTATACGACAAGCCTACATTTCCAAATAAAAACAGTTATTGCACAGTTGTGAATGTTAACAAATACACAAAACTTAAAAGACGTTATGTATTTAACAACTCTTACACTGCTGTAAAAATATAAGCATTTTTACGGTTTTAAAAACAACAAGGAAAAACAAAGCAACTTTCTGCCCGTGCATTAGTTATTTTAATTTTGAAAATCTTTCTTCACTCCATGACTTCAACAATAGAACTTAAGTAAGTAAAAGGATTCTTTCCGGCAATCCCATTAATGCATGTATAAAATGTGCATTTTAACTGAACACTGATTTTTTTTAATTGGTCCTCTTATATTTTAATAATCTGAGGAAATAAGGTTTATGTATTCCCGTGTTGATCCTTTTGGAACTTTTCCACAAGCCAAAAATCAGCAAAATAAGTTGTTAGTACCTGGATCTCTCAAAAACACAATTTCTACAGTGTTTACATGGACAAGTTTAATAGTAAATAATTTAATATTTGAGGATGTCTAGACAATATTCTCAAGATTATAATTCACTTAATTTGGCTCATGCATTTATTTGCCTTTCTGCAAAAAGGCAAAAATTAGTTATAGAACATTTTGAAAAATAATTTAATCTAAATTTACACTATTTTTATTCATCCTAAACATGTCAAACACAAATTTGTTTCCATACCCTTTTCATCTTTGGACAATTTGCTGTTTTAAAACAATTTGTTGATTTTTCTAACATTTCCTTGTTACTACTTAAATCACTGGTTGTTATTAAATAGAAATAAAACCATTGGCAGTTTTTAAGACAAATGATATATAATGTCACAAAATCAAGGTACATAATCAAACAAAAGTCATTTACATCAAAGATTAAATTGGGATTTTCTTTTGAACAAATGCACTCTGTGTATTAGTTGTGTTTCTTACATGGCATGCAACAGTGAAATAAACCGTATTCCCATTTGGAGAATAAATGGAATGATTATATGCACAATAATAGACTCACAGAAGGTCCCCTTTCCTACGTGTGGTGGGGATCCGTGACTGAGGAGTGGGCAGGACCAGAAGCACCAAGAGTCGAGCTGCATTACTCCTCTTGATCCCCACTAAGCTGGTGAAACATCCTTTGAATGAGGAGTCCCAAGAATCATGTTGTCAAGGAACTGGAGAGTGCTGCACAGGTCCCCAAGCTAGGATGGGAGCCTAGGGCCTCCATGCAAAGAGCCCCACCCTCCAGCAGGTTCCTGAGACCCACCCACACCCTCAAAACCAGACTTGTTTCACAATACTTATACCATAAAATAACCTTATTAGCAGAAAGTGGATTTTTTTGGTACTTTTAAAAAAATCTTCACCTGTCCAGGCAGTCTTGTCCATTTTAACTGCTCCTTTTTCTCATGTGGACTATACACAGTAGCTTTTTTTGATACTTCATTCTGGAGCTCACGGAATGACGTGCTACCTTGTTCCTGCTGAACAGCCATCATAGAACGGAAAGAAGGATCTACCTAAAGGCAGACAAAATATCAATAGCAAAATCAATTATATCAGGAAAACGCAAAATGTTTTAAGTACAGTAACATATTTCACAAAATTGAAATAAGTCTCAAAATGTTAGGATCTAAATATATTTTGTGTAAACACTGAAAGAAAATTAAATGGGGGCAATCCTTGTATATGAAAAAATACCTAATAGTACAGTGATACATGCAGTTAAACAGTAATGCATAATACTTCCACAAGAAATAAGTGAAATTCATCGTCAAATATAAATGAAGTGCAATGAAAGTAGCCAACAAGCCTAAACTGGTGAAAAGTAAATTGGGATGGTAAAATTCTGTCAGATGGTTGATAAATCTTTTACTTACACGATTCATGCTTTTCTGTTTTATTAGCCTTTTCCACAATTGGGCCCAATTCAGTTTAAGCATGAGTTCCCCACTTAAATCAAGTTAATCTACCCACCCCAGATCTAGTGGACACCGCTCTTTACTGAAATTCACAGCTGGTGCCAAGGGCCAGCACAGGCTCGCTGCATTAGTTAAACCCTACTGTTTAAAAAAAAAAAAAAAAAAAGTGCTGCACAAGTGGATTGCACCATGTGTGGAATTAATTGTGGAGGGAGACTGAAGTTATGAAGGGACTGAAATTTCACAAAGAAGACAGAACATCATATAGCACATGAGAGCAACCTACGTGATCTCTGTCCAGCCTGACTGCCATAGTGGCTACTGAACTCAGGCTCCTCTTTTGACAATTTTGATAAGGAAAACCATAAATATCTTAATGAAATGCACACTAAAATCCCTCCAAGAACATGCCTTAATATCAGGGAGAAGCAAGTCACTTCTATTCTCTGTGCCTCTGTTTTCCTTCTGCTCTTTGTCTGGCATGTCTATTAGATTATAGTTCAGGCCAAGGACCGACTCCTACTCTATGTTTGTATGGTGCCTAGCACACTGTGGCCTTCAACTAAATTTACACCAGTGTAATTCCATTAACTTTAATGATGTTTGGCCCAGTTTTCACCAATATGAGAGGAGAAAGAGATCCAAGATGATACATGATGTTTTATGGAAACCATTGGCCAAATACCAGGAAATTCAGAGTAGTAGGAGAAACTGATTTGAACATTTTTACAGAAAGTTGTAAAGTGCTAAGTAGATTAAAAAAAAAAAAGAGGGGGCATGTTAAGATGTAATATGCTTAGTATAGCAAGTTATAAAGGACAGTTACAGAAAAAAACTAAAAATGTAAACTGTCATCTGATTTCGGTTACAAATAAATAGCTTGAATGGATCTTAAATATTTCTGTTTATATATAAATATGTAAATGTACTTAACTTACATGATCTGGTAGTTTTATGCCTTTTACAGTTACATATAATGTTGATGGGTAACGATTTCTAGGACCTTTTGCCCACCAATCAAAAACCTCAACAACATTTGACTGTGTCCTGGTCCTTGGAGGTGGATAATATAATTGCAGACGTAGTTTCCCATCAATGTTTAGGACTCCGTTTGCACCTACAAGCTAAAAGAGTAATTTAAAAAAAATAAAAGAAATTTGCTACTTGTGTTCAAAATTCATACAAGTCATTGATGATACTGACACTTTTGACCAACTAGGGGCTCAACTTACTACTGGGGATAGTTATTATTCCCACGAGTGATGTCCCCACTCTACTCAATGGATTACTCTTGAGAGTAAGCAAGCACTACCCTAGTATGTTTACAGGATCAAGCCCTACTATAATTCAGAAAGCACTACCATTTTTGACATGTCTCTTCAAACTGGCATTCTTCTGGAGTCTTTTTCTTGCCGCAATTGAGGCATTACAAGTTACATTTTGTTGAAATGATTCAGGCAAATAAGAATTTGCAATAAATATTTTATCTGTGTCATATTGCCACAAAAATAGAGAAAATTTGTTTAAATGTACAAAATTTATTTTAAAATTTTTTTTTTGGTAAAAGCACATATAGCGTTTAAGAGAAACTAAATATTTCTGTTACTTTACTCCTATCCAGCCTCGGTCTTAAATGGTGCAAAACTACAATACCTTTAAGTGACACACACCCACGCAACATCTACTTCCTGAACAGACACAAGAAACAAATCATCATATCGAGAGGCCTCACCATCTATAACCCTCTGACCACTACATAAAACTCCAAGTAGGATGAACAGCTCTGCGGAAGGACCTCAGAAAAACTGAGGAACCACCTCTTCCACCTTATTTCAGAAGGGCCAACCTCAAACAAGAAATCATCACGTGCTCTCACACACTGGAATAAAAAAAATAAGGAAACATACCCAGAGATCTTGCAGGAAACCTGAAACAACTATAAAAAAGCCCTCTGATGACAGCCATCCAACATAAAAACAAAAAATGAAACTAACAACGACGACTCCACAACAGATACCACACCTTTGGGAGAAACCATGACACCAGGACCCACTAAATGGACACTACATGACACCTCATCATCATCAATCTATTAAAACCACCCCTAACTGGAACTGAAGTATCTGCTCTCTCCAAGGGACTGAACTTCTGCTCCCCTGCAGAACTGGATACCATGCTAACATGTGAAGAACTAGAAGAATTCTTCCACCGATTCTGCCTCAAGGAATTATTTCACAACAAAGACAATACTACCCAACTACCACACCCCCACTGACAGTCAGAAGAAAAAAAAAATCTGACTGGACACCCCCCAGCAGAAAAAAACACCATTGGATCATTACATTGATTGCTTCAGGAAAAACATTTGACTGGGACATCCTCAACAAACATTACAGTCACCACAACCTCTCTACCACAGAAAAGATAGCCATACAGTCCCTGAAGTCCAAATACCAGATAGTGATCAAAGCAGAAGACAAAGGGGGTGCCACTGTGGTCTTTAATCATGATGACTATGTCAAGGCCAACAGACAACTCTTTCACACTCCCTGCAATAAAGAACTCAAAGATGACTCCCACACCACAATTCACACTGGAATTTAAAGACACCAAATCTTGTCCCAAATAACTCCTGGAAAAACTCTACAACCTCATCCATCACAAACCCACCCCAAGAACCTTCTACATGCTTCCCAAGATACACAAACAAGGGAGCCCAGGCAGACCCATCATAACTGGCCACAGCACTCTTACTGAATGAATATGAGGACACACAGAAACCATTGTCAAACCACTCATCACACAAAGGCACTACCTCCAAGACACTACCAACTATTTCCAGAAACTCCACAACATTAACAACCCTCCCCCAGACCACCATCTTTGCCGTCATGGATATCACCTCATTATACACTAACATTACTCCCCCTGATGGCATTGCTGCCTGCCTCAAATATCTACAAGATCATATAAAACACTCAGGAATTCATCCTAAACACATTTCCTAACTCATCCATTTCACCCTCACCCACAACAATTTCACACCTAACAAACATACATTTTGTCCAAACCATGGAAACAGTCAGGGGTACTAGGATGGCTTCCCAATATGCCAATCTCTTCATGGGACACCTCAAGAAAAAATTTGTGAAAAAATGCATCATGAAATGAATGATATACCCGAGAAACATAGATGATATTTTCATCCTCTGGACAGACGACCTCAACTCCTTCATAGATTTCCATCACAACTTCAACCACCATCACCCATCCATCAAACTCTCTCTAGAATACTCCATACCTGCATCAGCTTCCTGGAAACCATGATGAGCTTCAGCAATAGAACCCTACAAACAACTATAAACAAGAAACTCACAGATCACTTTTACCAACCGAGGTACACTTAGAAATCTGTTATTTACAGCCAGACACTCAGATACCACAGAATTTGCTCCGAAGAGAAAGTCCGGGATACACACCTAAAGATCCTTAAATCTGCCGTCATTAAACAAGGACACTCCACCAGAGAAGTAGATCACATCATGGAAAGGGCCACCCAAATACTCAAGGAGAACCTGCTTCCATTCAGAAAAAAAAGAAAAGAAAGCCTACTGACCGCACACCCCTAGTTGTCACCTGTCACACCACATTGGAACCTATACAGGATATCATCAAATAATTACAAGCCATATGTTATGCTTATAAGAAGCACACGGAATTTTTTTCAAGGGGATAAGGCAATACGCCGTGTTTATTGAGAGTACAATTTAAGAATTAAAATCAGCATCTGCTTCCATTCATTCATTCATACACACACACACACACACACACACCTCAAAAGGTTCTGCAACTGGATCTTATAGTTACCAGTCCTTAGTGTTGCTCTGTCAGTTCCAGTGGACAGCTGAAACTGCACATGAGGGAGGGGAGGAGCTGGAGCTGGGTCTCTATTGGATGCGTCCGAAGCTCTGATGTTGATGCAGAACAAACCCAAAGTCCCATGGCAATACACCCTTCTTTTATAGTAATAAATTCCCATACAAGTCTATGGGCCTTGCTGTGTCACACCAGAGCTGTTAATCACGAGGTAGTCAAGGTTGCTGTCAATCAGCATTATTTTGGGTTGTTACTGGGAGTATCCACAGCTGTTTCTTATCTCGTCCCTCTGGCTCCACTCTTTATCTTGTCCTTGGGGTGTATGCTTTTGTTTTAGGGTCATCAATCTGCCATCTGGGTGATTCTGATAATAAGGTTGGTGCCTCTCGACTTTTCCACTCCCCTCTTGACCATCCGGCCCTTCAGTACTAGCACCTCCTGTGTCTTCTTTGTTAGCATGCCATATATTCTTCACTCACACACAAAACAGTAAATAATTTCAAAAGCAAGAATTACAGCCATAAAACTTCTATCCTTCTAAAAACAATCATTAGCATGTAAAACAAAGACTAAAACCAAAACAATTTCTTCTTACTAATTCAAAGCTAACAAAATAAGCAAATGGAGTACAATTTCCTCGAGACAATTTCTCCCCATTAGGCTTTTCGAGTGGATTTTACTAAAGATACAACGGCTCCTGTGTCAATTAGAGCTAGCGTAGAAGCATATCTACCCTGCTGGACATAAATACATGGTCACCCCCCGGTGACCCAGGTGATCTTACCTATGAACCTCCACTGCTGTGCTCCTACATAATGTAGGGGTTCCCTGTCCAGCAGGCCTGCCTAGTTGTCTTCTGGAGGAGGAGGGAAAGGAGGAGCGTTAGGGGTTATGCTTGCTACCTCCTTCTGCTGCAATTGTAATTTAAGGGCCTCCCAGTCCATGCTCCATCCCACTTTTCCTGGCTCTCTCCATGCTGCATTAGTGTCCATCAGGCTAGCCAGGGAACTTCGTTCTCAATGGAATTGTATTTCTTCTCCCCCTGTTGTTGGCACCGCTTAGTGCCCTCTGGGAGGTATCAGGGATCCGGGTATTACCCTTTGTCTGCAGTTACCCAGTCCGTGGGAGCGGCCTCATGTGAAACCTCCACAGGGTCCCAATATCCCCTTGAAAAAGATTCCGTGTGCTCTTATAAGCATAACACATTTGATGGGGACCACATCCTGAAAAAAAATCTTTCCCAGACCCATTCTTCTGGCCTTCAAACAATCCCCCAACCTTGCTATAAGCTCATCATCAGAAGCAAGCTCCCCATAGCCCAAAACACAAAACTCAAAGCAGCACCAGACCCTGCCAGAACAACAGATGCAAAACCTGCAGACATGTCTCCATCACTACAACCATCAATACTTCGCACAATACAACTTTCAAGATTCCTGGGTCCTACACAGGCCCATCTCAAAATGTAGTGTACCTCATCCAGTGCATCAAATGCACCACCAATAGGGGATAAAACCAGACAATCAGACAATAAGCTCTTGAATAAACTCATACAGAAAAATGATAAAAGACAAAAACACCTTCTCACCTGTGGATGAATACTTTTCACAAAGCAATCATTCCATATCTGATCTTTCAATATTTGTCTTCAAAGGAAACCTGCACAGCACCTTTAAAAGGTGAGCCTAGGAAATTAAATTCATATCTCTAACAGACACCACAAACCATGGACTCAACAAGTTTCATGGTTCATTATGCCAAGTTGTAACACGCCTCACTGCCTGCTAACCGGTAATTGATCACTTCATTTTAAGTGGTCTCCTACAATGTGTGAATCCCTTAACTATCTGTCCTAACTTATATTTAGCTTGGGCTCTCGGATTACCTTCCTCAGACCTGAAGAAGAGCTCTGTGAAATTCAAACCCTCCACCAACAGAAGTTGGTCCAATAAAAGAGATCACCTCACCTACCTTGTCTTTCCCAAGAGAAAAAGAGCATTCATGAATTTATTACAATTTTTCACAAGAAGTAGATGTGTAATATATTGTACTTGGGAAAGAATCCATATTTGCAACATCACCAACTCCTTTCCAGAGGGAAAAGTCAAAAAAAGGTTTCGTTTTAAGGTGGTTGTTTAAGACAAAATATTATATTTTTAATGTTATTAACAGTTGCAGAAATACAGTGAGTCTCAATGAACAGTGCCACAAAGAGCAGCTAGGTCCCTGTTCCTGCCCCCACTTTTTCCATGTCCCAGTGAAGGCACTTCTGGTGGAGGACAGAAGGTGTAGCAGCTCTCCTACCTTCCCCAAAGTGAAAAATTCATACCCGAGAGATGAAGTTGAGCCCTAAGCCTCTACATAGACACCACTATGTCAACAGAAGAATTCTTCAATCGACCTAGTTGCCTAACCTCTCAAGGAGATGGGTTTATTATAGTGATGGAAAACCCCTGTCACTGTAGCAAGTGTCTATGCTAAGGCATTACAACGGGGTAGCTGCAAAGCCACAGCTTTACAGCTGTAGCATCTGTAGTGTAAACATCCCCTAGTAGCATAGCATGACTTAGGGTAAGAGGAAATAAGTGAGCTCTGGAACTTATCCCTTCCATAAGTTAGTTTTTTGCCTACTAGGAGCAGGAGATAGACCACTCTTTGTTAGGATGCTTCCCCTTTTGTAGGATTAAGATGAGTCATGACAATTTCATTATTTCAAGGGTGGAAAAACCCACAGTGCCCCCTCAATATTTGGATTCAACTAAAAGCTCCACTAGAATTTTGAATAGCACTTAAACAGAAGACACTAACTGCTCTTGAAGTAGTATTTCTGGTCCCAGGTGTACAGAGGAGCCACCCATGACATTTATCAATTGATTAGCCTTTATTTAGAAGCTTCTGATTTTTCTGCCAAGGGCTGCGCTTGAAAAAGAATATGCATTTTTCCACGCATTTTGTTCATTTAGTTGAGAAATATCAATTTTCTCTATTGCCACACCTATTTTCTCTGTATATCTACATGATCTTTTAATAGCATGAGCACTATCTGAATCTGCCTCGATACCTGTGGTTTAAAATACTTTTTAAAAAATTTTTGTTTTAAAAAAGTTTCCCACTAAGTAATTTGTTTATTTGAAAAGCTGGCTTTGTCAATTTCTTTTAGATACTTTATGCAGGCTTTTTAGTCTTCTTTTGGTTTTATTTTTTTGTATGTTTAAGTTCACAATACCTTTAGAAATGCCCAAGAGATTTTGCGAAAACCACTTTCCTTAATTTGCACTTCAGAGTTGGCTCTTGCTTCATCCATGCTTAAGAAATCAAGGATCTGCAGATATTAATTAGAATATATACATACATTACCATTGAGAATGCACTTCTTGGAAGTAATAACTACTACTGAAGGTATTTTAGATAGGATTCATGGATTTAAACAAAATTCTCATTTTACTTATTATAAAAATGTAATTTACTGACTATCCAGTGTCCACATCTACCCCAAGTGATATTTAAACACACATACCACCACATCAGTGTTATGCTCTTCAAACATAAGTCTTTTTTTTTTTAAAGTTTCTTATTTCACATCAGTCTCTTTATATTTTTTATAAAGAATTGAACAAAAGCAACTCTTCACAAACCCTTTATATGTCCCCAAACTGACTGCACATTTAATCCAGATAGAAGTATGTGGTCAAAAAGATCATTTTCTTTTCCTAGCTTCATCATTTTGGTATACAGTTCTCTTGATTTTCTTGGTCTGCAACCAGAATCTCCTCATATCCGACCACTTCTGCATCTTTACATGGCATGCATAATATTAGCGTTACAATCCATCTTCGGATTTGTGGCTAAG